AGCTGGACATTGACTTCAATCACCAAATGGCCAATCAATCATGCCTACCTAGTGAGATCTCCAGAAAAAATACCTAAATGATGGGGTCTGGGAAGCTTCTGAGTGGGGCTCATTCTGACTCCATGGGGACAGAGGCTCCTGTATCTGAGGCCCTCTGGACCTCACTCTATGCATCTCTCCCAAGTGGCTGTTCCTGAGTTGTATCCTTTAAAACATGCCAGTGATTGTTTAAGTAAAGCACCTTCCTGAGTCCTGTGAGTCACTGCACAGAATGACTGAACCTGACGAGGGGCGATGGAAATCATCGAATGTGTATTCAGCCAGACAGAAGTGCCTGGGCACCTCTTTTGCAGCTGATGTCTGAAGTGGGGGCATCTTGTGGGATCTCTTGCTAATTCGTCTGTGGGATCTGTGCTAACTCTGAGCTTTAGCGTCAGAATAGAAAGGAACTGTTGAATACCCAGTTGTTGTCAAAGAATTACAGAACAACTTGGTGTGGAAAATGTATTTGGTGTCAGAAAAAAACCACAAGATAAGTCATGCCCAAGGGCTCAGGGCTCAGCCAGTGGCCACTGTGGGTGACTGCCAACTGTTCTCAACCCATCACAGCACCCAGCTTGGGTTCTGAGATAGAGGCCTGAAAGGCCTCCAGGGCCACAGAGCCCACTAAGAAAGGGTGACCAAAGTGGAAGAAGAAAAACAGGACAGTGTGGGGTTCCAGGAACCGAGATGAGACAGTATGGCCAGAAGGACAGAGCACCCCACAGCAATCACCACCAAGACGTTGAGTGGGGTGAAAACCCAAGAATAACCAGAGGATCCAGGAACACAGAGGCCCCATCCCAGGCTCCTGACCAGAGGACTTGCAATGCTGCCAGACTGGACTGGGTTGAAGACAAATCAGGCAAGACCACCAGATGGTCAGGAAGGTGGACTGGAGGAAGAGGCAGGAGCTGTGTTTGGCTGGAAAATACACATGGGAGGTTTCTGGGGTGTTGACAGTCTCCTATTTGTTAACCCAGGTGGTGGCTGTGTATTAAACTGTATACTTACTTCCATAATTTTTTCAATATTTGACAATAAGAGATTAGAAAAGAGAGATTAGGAGAGGGTGAAGCAGAGAAGGCAGGTGCAGGCCTCCTCTTCAGGGAAGTCTGGCTGAGCTGGCCCTGGGCTCTGGTTCTAGTTGAGTGAGAACCACTGGCAGGCTTTTGGGATGGGAGGTGGATCAGACACACCTTTTTTAGATAGCGCCACATCCCAGAAGGGAAAGGATAGAAAGGAGGAGTGGCACTAATCAAAGTAAACAGGGGTGGAGCATGTGAATGTGTGAGTCCCTAGGACACAGAGAAAAACAAATGTCAAACAATGAGTCCCACAATTCATCTAAAAAAGAAAAAAACAACCCAAACCAAAAACCTGACATTAATGGAATCTTTCAAATTCCATCAAATTATGCTTGTAGAAAATTATGCATTGTCCTCCTTATTTATCATTTCTCATCCATATTTATGTCAACCTGGGCTCCTGGAATGACCTATGTTTTTAAATCTATACCAATCACATCCTATTTTAATCATCAGGCTGGTTCTGCTGGAGATGAAAATACTCCGAATACTCCCACCACCTTCTTAGAGAAATACAACGCAGCCAAGGCAAACCCTTCTGTAGTGAGTTGATGAGCTGAGATTGGCCCTAAGGAGCTCACTTTTTCACCCCTCTCAGAGAACACTGGACATGAGCCGCCTTTAATAGGTACCATCTTGACCGGCCGCAGTGGCTCACCCCTGTAATCCCAGCACTTTGGGAGGCTGAGGTTGCCAGATCACCTAAGGTCAGGAGTTGGAGACTAGCCTGGTCAACATGGCAAAACCCAATCTCTACTAAAAAACAAAAATTAGGGTCGGGCACAGTGGCTCACGCCTGTAATCTCAGCACTTTGGGAGGCCGAGACAGGTAGATCAGGAGGTTAGGAGATCGAGACCATCCTGGCCAACATGGTGAAACCCTATCTCTACTAAAAATACAAAAAAAATAGCTGGATGTGGTGGCGCACGTCTGTAGTCCCAGCTAGTCAGGAGGCTGAAGCAGGAGAATTGCTTGAACCCAGGAGGCAGAGATTGCAGTGAGCCAAGATTGTGCCACTGCACTACAGCCTGGGTGACAGTGCGAGACTCCATCTCAAAAAAATAATAAAAAATATGTATGTGTGTGTGTGTATATATATATATATATATATATATATATATATATATATATATATATATATATAAATTAGCCAGGCATAGTGGCGCATACCTGTAATCTCACCTACTCAGGAGGCTGAGGCAGGAGAATCACTTGTACCCAGGAGATGAAGGTTGCAGGAAGCCAAGATCGTGCCATTGCCTAAGCCACAGAGCAAGACTCCATGTCAAAAAAAAAAAAAAAAAAAATAGGTACCATCTCCTCAAGTTCACGTAACGCACATACCCTTTCGTTGGGCAAGCACACAGCCTTTATCTGCTCCAAAAGAGTGGAAAGTCTGGAACGGATCCCAAAGAACAGGACAGTGTTCTCAAGTGACCACATCATCACCACCCAGAAGAAAAGAACGAGTATCAACTTCCCAGGGGAAGAGATGGACTTCAACATGACCAGTGACATGGTAGTGTGGTAGTCAACAAGTGGAAAATCTTTCATTATTAAAACAGAAAAAGCAAAATTCCAGAAAACTCACTAAATAGGTATTTCTGGGAAGGGTGCGGTGGCTCATGCCTGTAATTCCAGCACTAATGGGGGGCTGAGGCGGGTGGATCACCTGAGGCCAGGGTTTAAAACCAGCCTGGCCACCATGGTAAAATCCCATCTCCACTAAAAATACAAAAATTAGCCAGGTGTGATGGTATAAGCCTGAAATCCCAGCTACTCAGGAGGCTGAGGCAGGAGAATCCCTTGAATCCAGGAGGCAGCGGTTGCAGTGAGCCAGGATCATGCCACTCCACTCCAGCCTGGGTGACAGAGCAAGACTCTGTATCAAAAAACAACAAATAAACAAACAACAACAACTAAAAAAAGTAGGTATTTCTGGGGATAAAGGCCGGTATAATTAGTAAGAAATCTGAAGCACGAAGTCTTCTAACAGATTAATGGCTATCAGATAAAACTGACAAAACAGAACTAAGGGAGTCAAGTCAAACCTGGTGGAAGTCAACAGGGGAACAGTGTGGGTAACATAACAGCAGCCTGCCAGGACACCTCTTACTCAGGTGAGATTAACACTGCTGCACTGGCCACAGTGCCCACTGGTTTGAGGCCTTACCAGATGCCTTTATACCCATTACCTCATTTTATACTTTAAAAAAAACCTGCAAAAAGAGATTATTATCTCCACTTTACCAGTGCTGATACTTCACCAATGCAGGGCTCTCAGCGACTTGCCCGGGGTCATGACAGCCTGTTTGAACAGCCACCTTGGACTTGAACCCAGCCCGGTGTGTCTGACTCAATGCCTATACTCTTAACCTTTCCAGCAGCTGCTTCTTTGTCAAATAGGTCCTCCCGCAGGGTTTCACAGCCCAGCCCTTCACTCAGCAGGTATTTACTGACAGGCCTCAGGAACACGAGGCAAGTAGGACAGCAATGAACAAGATGCTGACCTTGACCCTGACCCTGCACCCATGGTATGAGCATTTTAACTGGGGAAGGTTTGCAAAGTTCTCTTAAACTGTCTGCTACATGCTCTATAAGCATTTTCTTATGGATAACATAAACCTCATCTTAAAAATAGTTGAGACATTAAAACCTGTCACAAAAACTCAGACAAAATGCTTCTAGTTATCTTGAGGTTTAGAGCTTAAATTTAAAATACCACCACATTTTTCTCAGCTTTTGGTGCTAAGACAAAAAAACAGCTAAGTTTTCAACTGACATCTACTTTTCTAGATCAGTAACTCTCCTTTAAATTTTTCCTCCTTTAGGAGTCTGTGCTGGTTAGGACAACCCAGGGAGCAATTGTAAGGAGGACCTTCCCCATTGCAAGCCCCAGGGCATACCAGGAGAGCAGCCCTGCCAGGGAGGTGGCAGTTCCAGCCTCCTCCTTGGGGCCCACATTTTCTCATGAGCCCGGCAGCAGCCAGAGACAGATGGAGCCACGTGTGGTTTGTGTGTGGCTCCTGATTTCAGTCAAGGGTAGCTGGTCTGCGGCACTCTCCTCCTGCTTCCCCCTCAGCAGCTGAGGTACCCACAGCGTTCTCCTCCCACAGGCACAGCAGGGTAAGGCAGCCGACTGTGCTTACTTACATGGATCTCCCTGACTGACTCCCTTTGAGCTCTTGCATATGCTAACTTGCAAATAAATATCAAGAAAACCAAATGATATTAAAATCCCCTTCTCACTCAGCACAGTAAGGACACAGTCCAGGAAAGGGGGTCTGGGACGGACGAGCCCTGTGTTTCCCATCTAATTGACAAGGGTGGCCTAACAGGGCTAAGAACCTAAACCATGGGGAGAAGAAGGCAGGTTTCCACTCAGGACTTTCTGATCAAACCACCAAACCCCCCAGGGTCCTTCTAGTTCCTTTGAATTTAATAATATTCCTAGGCTCTGCACGTTATTGGCATTTTCATTCATATTTTCAATTCTTCCAGAATCCATATTCTTATAAATGACTTTTATGTCCAGTCTAAAAAATATGCAAATGTCTTCATTGTATTTTATTTCCCATATTCTGCAAAGATTAACATGACCAGTCTTCTCAGATGATCGCAAAATTGAAATGACATCTTTGAAGTGGCCAAAATAATTCTGTTATGATGTTTCCCCCATTAGTTAAGATTCAGTTTATTTTGTAGTTTTACTCAACCCAGTAAAGAAATTTAAAATTTTACAGTTGAATTGTAATGGAATATTTAAGGATCAAAATGAACTAGAACCAAATACAGCCTGGAGAGATTCAACTTTTCCTTGGAGCCAACCACCGCGTGACCCATTCATGGCCAGAATGGCCGCTTGTACTCACTGTCAGGTTCCAGTTGATCTGGGGGATCCTCATGTGCAGGTTGAGACCAAACATAATCAGCAAGACTCCAGTCACCACAAACGCACTGCAGCTCACAAACTCAAAAAAGTAGAGGCCTTCACACGGGGAGCACTTCATGATGGTCTCTATGCAGATAAACGCAATCAGGGCCAAGATCTAGAAAGAAAATTGGAAACATACATGTATATATATATTTAGTATACATCTGCAGACATACGTGGCTACCATGCTTAAATAACACTGAACAACAACAACATACTACCACTGAGTTTTCCTCTGGGGATGGCAGCCATAACTGTTGGAAATCAGATCTGCTTCAATTCTTACATCAAGAATAGGTGCAAGGGTCTTAATGAAAGGATCCAATTACCAATGTAAACAGTGAAGGCCCCACCGCATACACTGAAATCAATCTGGTGTGATGTGGCCCCTGGGTATAAACTGCTGGCCCTTGGGAAGAAGCAGAAACATCTCCACAATATTTTTAGGTCTTCTCCTGCCATCAGTAAGTGGGTATTACCTATGTATGTTTCTAATTCATGGTCTCCACCACAATTATGCCAAACACTGGGAGAACAGAATCCTGATGGTGTCCAACTTACGCTATCTGAAGTTACCTTGGTGGTTCCTGCTAAGATCACACAGGTTAACTGGGACTCCTGATGGCTTTAAAAGAATGATTGGTATAATCTCCTCTTTCCCCAATTAGGAGGGAACAAGAGGCCCACCTAATTAATTCATGTGGTTTTTAAAAATGTATTTTTGAACTTGATCACAAGAAAATGGCAGCTTATTAGAAAGCTTTAAGAAATCTACCAATAATAGAATAAATTTCTTTCGAAGGACCAAAGTAACATTCTGGCAATATGTCCTAAGAGTTCATAGATCATAAATTCAAATAGATATCGATGGAAAATGCCAAGTGAACTTTTAAAGGGGGACTTCAGGAGAAGGAGCAGCCCAAAGGCAGAGTTAATGACCCTGTGATCGAGGAAAGGTTTGGAACACCTAAAGCCAGATCAGTCTTGGGCTCCCGCTCCGCTCAGTTCAGTGGCATCTGAAGCCTGTGCCACTGCTTCCAGGCCGGCCTCCACCTCATGGGTCAAAGAAGCAGAGGCAGACAGCTCTGTGGTCCTCTAGAGACTTGTCCTCTAGAGCTTGTGAGAAATGCAGAATCTCTGCTTCCTCCCCTTGAACTACATAATCAGAATCTACTTTCTGATGAGATCTTCAGAGGATTAAAGTGCATGCCGCATACAAGACACGGGCTGTTCTGGGACCTTTCTCCACCTGTTGAAGTCCTACTCATGACTTCCACTACTCTGCTAGATGCTGCCACCACCTTCACCCCATGTCTTCCCTGACTGCTTCTCCCTGCCAGACATCAGCTTACCCCACTCTCTCCCGGGAAAGCCGGCTAGCCTGTGACTGCATTCTATCCTTGCCATCCTGCAACCTCTCCCTCCTGAGCTTTTAGGGGGCAGGGCAGTCCATCCCAGTCTACTCCCAAGGCACCAAGCACAGTAACTTGCACATAGCCAGCAGACGGGGGCTGAATGAGCCATTAGAAAACCCATATCTTGGAACCAAAAGAGAGCCCGCATAGCCAAGTCAATTCTAAGCAAAAAGAACAAAGCGGGGGGCATCACACTACCAGACTTCAAACTATACTACAAGGCTACAGTAATCAAAACAGCATGGTACTGGTACCAAAACAGAGATATAGACCAATGGAACAGAACAGACGTCTCGGAGGCAACACAACATATCTACAACCATCTGATCTTTGACAAAGCAGTCAAAAACAAGCAATGGGGAAAGGATTCCCTGTTCAATAAATGGTGTTGGGAAAGCTGGCTAGCCATGTGCAGAAAGCAGAAACTGGACCCCTTCCTGACACCTTACACTAAAATTAACTCCAGATGGATTAAAGACTTAAACATAAGACCTAACACCATAAAAACCCTAGAAGAAAATCTAGGTAAAACCATTCAGGACATAGGTGTAGGCAAGGACTTCATGACCAAAACACCAAAAGCATTGACAACAAAAAGCCAAAATAGACAAATGGGACCTAATCAAACTCCACAGCTTCTGCACAGCAAAAGAAACAATCATTAGAGTGAATCGGCAACCAACAGATTGGGAAAAAATTTTTGCAGTTTACCCATCTGACAAAGGGCTGATATCCAAAATTTACAAAGAACTAAAACAGATTTACAAGAAAAAAACAAACAAGCCCATTCAAAAGTGGGCAAAGGATATGAACAGACACTTTACAAAAGAAGACATACGTGAGGCCAACAAACATATGAAAAAATGCTCATCATCACTGGTCATCAGAGAAATGCAAATCAAAACTACATTGAGATACCATCTCACGCCAGTTAGAATGGCGATCATTAAAAAATCTGGAGACAGCAGATGCTGGAGAGGATGTGGAGAAATAGGAACACTTTTACACTGTTGGTGGGAGTGTAAATTAGTTCAACCATTGTGGAAGACAGTGTGGAGATTCCTCAAGGACCTAGAAATAGAAATTCCATTTGACCCAGCAATCCCATTACTGGGTATATATCCAAAGGATTACAAATCATTCTACTATAAGGACACGTGCACACGAATGTTCATTGCAGCACTGTTTACAATAGCAAAGACCTGGAACCAACCCAAATGCCCATCGACGATAGACTGGATAGGGAAAATGTGGCACATATACACTATGGAATATTATGCAGCCATCAAAAACGATGAGTTAGGGTCCTTTGTAGGGACATGGATGAACCTGGAAACCATCATTCTCAGCAAACTGACAGGACAGCAGAAGATCAAACACCGCATGTTCTCACTCATAGGCGGGTGTTGAACAATGAGAACACATGGACACAGGGAGGGGAGCACTACACACTGGGGTCAGTTGGGGGGAAATAGGGGAGGGAGGGTGGGGGGTGGGAGGCTGGGGAGAGATAGCAGGGGGAGAAATGCCTGATGTAGGTGATGGGGAAGAAGGCAGCAAATCACACTGCCATGTGTGTTCCTATGCAACAATTCTGCATGTTCTTCACATATACCCCCAAACCTAAAATGCAATAAAATAAATAAATGGGAAAAAAAAATATGCTTATAAAGTATAAAAAAAAAAAAAGAAAACCCATATCTACAATTCCTGGCTGCCTGGTCAGTGTCTTCAGGTGAATGGAAGAGTGGTTCTGCTTCTCCCATTGTCAATACTTCTACACAGAACCTCTTTCCTAACAATATGTGGTCTTTTCTAAGTCAACACATTAAAAATACAGGTCTTCTTGGTCAAAGCATACAAAATTTGAGTTAGGAAGAATAAGTTCAAGAGATCTGTTGTACAACATGGTTACTTAGTGACTACTGTTAAGAGTATATTTTAGTGCAGTGGCTCACAACTGTAATCCCAGCACTTTGGGGGGCCGAGGCAGGTGGATCACCTGAAGTTGGGAGTTTAAGACCAGCCTGACTAACATGGTGAAACCCCATCTCTATTAAAAATACAAAAATTAGCTGGGTGTGGGGGGAGGGGGGACGCCTGTAATCTTAGCTACTCAGGAGGCTGAAGCAGGAGAATCACTTGAAACTCGGGGGGCAGAAGTTGCAGTGAGTCAAGATCATGGCACTGCACTCTAGCATGGGCGACAGAGTAAGACTCTGTCTCGAAAACACAAAAACAAACAAAACGGGTAGATTTTAAGTGTTTTTATAACAACAAAAAAGAGGTAAGTATGTGAGATAATGCACAGTACCTCACTGGATCGAGCCATTCCACAATGCATACACATTTAGAAACACCATGTTGTACACAGTAAATACAGAAATTATTACTTGTTGGCTGGGCATGGTGGATCACATCTGTAATTCCAGAACTTCGGGAGGCCAAGGCAGGCGGATCATCTGAGGTCAGGAGTTCAAGACCAGCCTGGCCAAGATAGCGAAACCCCATCTCTATTAAAAATACAAAAATTAGCTGGATGTGGTGGCAAGTACCTATAGTCCCAGCTACTCAGGAGGCTGAGGCAGGAGAATCACTTGAGCCCAGGAGGCAGGGGTTGAAGTGAGCTGAGATCACACCATTGCACTCCAGCCTGGGCAACAAGAGTGAAACTCTGCCTCAGGAAAAAAAAATTTTTTTACTTGTCAATAAAACAAAAGATATGGGTCTTTAAATATACACCTTGTGCTTCTCCTAATGGCTCTTCTTATAATTCTCTATAGCACCATAGATTTTAATTCTCCATCTGAATACATACCTAACTTGCAATCAATTCACAAAAGAAGTAGTTCACATAAGGGAAACTCCTAAACTTTCCCTTCTTTTTTTTCACCCCAGTAATCAGATCTAGTAATCTTGGGCAAGAAATAACACACTGTACTGATGAATTACAAACGTTTCTGGTATGCTAACTTCAACCATATTTGTGTGGGAAGGTAACACCTACATTCTTAATTATTAACATAAAAATGGCTTCACGGATATGCAAATAGACCATGCGTTGTGGCAGTGAACAAAATGGACAAAAATCCCTGCTCTTAACTCACAGTCTAATAAAGGAGGGTTTTCTCTTATTAATTAAATTTAAAAACAGAGTGAGAGAGACAATGATAAGAACGAAGGAGAAAAATGGAAGCAGGGAAGCTGAACAAAGCATCTAGGGCAAAGGTTTTTGAAAATTTAGACAAAGAGGCCGGGAGCGGTGGTCACGCCTGTAATCCCTTCAAGATTATAGCACTTCAGGAGGTTGAGGTGGGTGGATCGCTTGAAGCCAGGAGTTCCATACCAGCCTGGCCAACATGGCGAAACCCTGTCTCTACTAAAAATAGAAAAATTAGGCCGGGCGCGGTGGCTCAAACCTGTAATCCCAGCACTTTGGGAGGCCGAGGTGGGTGGATCACGAGGTCAAGAGATCGAGACCATCCTGGTCAACATGGTGAAACCCCGTCTCTACTAAAAATACAAAAAATTAGC